GCTTTAGCCACTCGATTTTGTACCTTCGCCTGTTTTACGCTTTCTCGGATCCTGACCCCAGCCTATCTCTTCGTTTACGCCTGTGCCTACCGACGCAACTTCTACGCCTTCCCGGACTCGGACCCCTACCTATTTACTCCGACTACGCCTGCGTCTCGTGCCAACCCTACCAAGGGCACCGCATTGGATCCCTATCCTCAGCAGTCAGCCCCTGCGTGACAGGTTCTGAGTGTCTTGGTTACATCCGTTTGTGTGTATAGATGAAAAAGCTATTGAAGAGCACCCCCACACCCGTCTCGGTGGAAGTTGCCATGTTCAAAAAATCTTAAGAAGATAATTAAAGTTGCACACAACAAAGCATGACTGTGAAAGGTCAGGAGGCCTGCCTAGTGAGCACAACACTTGATTACGCTGTTCTGCTTCCTATGGTCATATACGGGTTTTTCGCATGAGGCCGTATTGAACAGTATTTCTCGCGTTGTGAACGTGTGCACACAGCGGTCCCCCGGGTTCCAGTTCGTGTGTAATTACGTATCGATGAAAAATCGGAGGTTTAAAAAAAGATAATTAGCTCACTGATAGTTTGATGTAAAGGGTGTGGAAATATCCACAAGTCGTGGTCTTTAAAATGCGTTTGGTTTGACGGCGTTCTGTGCTTCCATTTGCGAAGATATGGACAAAAGAATATTCGTGCTTGGTCAAAAAAATGTCATAAAACCGAAAAAGTAAAGGCTGAGAAAGCATCCACAATGTATTTTATACACAAAACAAGCATTCTCGCAACTCTAAGAGGTTTCGTGAAAGCGCTACAGGCGTGCCAAAATCTTTTTCGAACTTCAAGCTAACTTTACCCCGGTCTGTCACCGACATATTCAGTCTTTCTCTTACTCAATACCCAGTCCCCTCCCGCTTCAGAAAAACCACATTCTTCCGATCCGCAAGAAAACCAGAGTTAGCCGTCTGAATGACTACCGCCCACATCACCTCTTCACTGCCTGACACTTTGGACCCACTGCAAGTTGCAAACCGACAGAACAGCCATCGCCACTGCCCTACACACTACCCTCTCACACCTAGACAAGAAAGGAGCGTATATGAGAATGCCGATTGTTGATTACAGCTCAGCATTCAACACCATGGTACCCTCGGGTTGTCACCAAGATCCGGGACCTACTGTAGGAATGAGCTCCCCTCTCTGCGATTGGATCCTGGACTTTCTGACGGGTCGTCCGCAGGTGGTAAGGGTAGGAACCAATTCATCCTCAGCCCTGACTCTGAATTACTCTTGATTACGAAAGGCTTCGAGACTGCGTACAGGGAGGAGGCTGACAACCTCTCTCTGAACACCAGCAAGACCAAGGAGTTGATCGTGTACTACAGAAAACACCAGAGAGCAGACCACGCTCCCATTTACATCAGCGGCTCTGCAGTGGAGAGGGTCGGCAGTTTTAAATTCCTACAGTAGGTGTTAACATCACAGACGATCTAACCTGATCCCAATACACCAACCGCGTAGCCAAGACAGCACGGCAGCGCCTCCTGTTTGTTAGCAGACTAAAGAAGTCCGGCATGCCGTCACATATCCTGACCAACTTCTACAGGTGCACCACTGAAGGCATCCTACAGTAAGTGGCTGCATCACTTCCTGGTTAAAGCAGTGCAGTGAGTTGTGAAATCGACTTCTGTCATCTCTCTCCTCTCTCGCCTTGCGAGCTTGCGGGAAAAGTGTTTCATTACCGACAGCGACCGGTGTATGCCGTATTGTTGTGCACTTGATACATAAAACATGATTGATTGATTGACTGCCGGTGCTCACAGCTCAACTTCACTGTGAACCACAGAGGACTGCTCAAATATAAATCAAAGAAAGCGAACGCCTTATCGTATTGTTAATGTTGCGTTTCGATTGGTGCTTGATAATTCCGACATCCTAATACCCGCCTAAGCATTGAGGCTGACACTCAATGCTTGCATTTTTGCATTTACACCTGCTGCGTTCTCCCCTAAATTTAACGTATTAAAAAAGCACACCTTTCATCGATTGATGAATTTACCAGTTACACCAGATAGTTAGTTTAGGTTGAATTATTTCAGATCACTAAATGAATTGACGGCGAGATTCTTAGCAGATCCGTAGCGAGTTTTTTTTTATTTTCCTCCTCGCACAGTTCATTACCATTTCGAAGAGTTCTGTCTATTTGACAGATGTTGATATGATAGTGTAAAACGTACAAAATGAAACGTTTTATGAAACAAGACCGTAAAGAAATAACTAAACGCCGCGAGACCGACGTTGCCGTAAGAAAAGTAAAAAAAGACGAGCTACTACTCACCGTCTTCTCCACTGTCTCCTTTCACAAACTTCATTATGTCATTTAGTAGAAGTAGTAGAAATAACAGAAAGGTCCACATTCTGTGGTGTTGCTACAGTACTATCGACTTCCAAGCGGAATTTTACTGTGAACTTGTTGCTCCTCCTTGTTGCACGGTGACGCCCCCGCGATAACAGTGATAGCGTTATAATTTTACTTTGACATCCGGTCGGCTTTTTAAATACCTGGGGTAAAGAGCCTTTACTTAACTGGTACCATTCTTTACCCCTCTGCTCCTACTATACTTAGTACCACCATCCACGGTCTCCTCTGTGTATTGTAATTGTGTTTTATCTTGTGTATTCTTTGTATTTATTGTAGTCATTCTGTAAAGTACTTTGAGAAGCCACCTTTCAAGGCGCTATATAAAATTGTTTTTTATCATTCATTGTAAATAAGTCCAATAAAATACTGTTAAATTACTTTTTGCGAGTCAAACAACTCGAAGCAACATCTTTTTTCAATGTTTAATTGCTTAAAAAACAAGAATTTTCCAGGAATGTGTCATCTGATGCGCCCAAGATCATGCTACAGCGACGAGAAATATTTTCTGATTCGGGTAGTTTAAGTAGTTTTCTTACCAAATAAAACTAAATAGGTTTTAAGCAAAAACACGTTACAATAAAAAGACATTCTTCTATTCAATGTGTACAAAAAGATAAATTTTAAAACATCAGTGCTCAACAGGTCAAAAGTACAATATCTAAGTCATTAAAGACCAACACAAAATTTATCCAGTTGAAAAGAAGACATACATGACATATATCAAGGCAATTTTGACACGTTGAAAAATGATAATCCCCTCCTCTCTTAAGAAAGAAAACAGAATTTAAATAGTCCTGACTGCACAATATTGGCACAAGCATATTGAACGACAGGCAACCATTACAAGGCTACTTTTGGATATGAAGGAACATGTAATAGGTTTATTCCATGCTGAAAAAAGAAGAAAGAAAACATTTCGGCTGTGGAGCCTTCTTCAGGCTTGAGAGGACACCTGAAGAAGGCTCCACGGACGAAACATTGTGTTTCTTCTTTTTTCAGCATGGAATAAACCTATTACTTGTTCCTTTGCAGCTGACGCAGCTACCCACCTGAACTACTTGGGGATATGAAGATCCATACACCATGGACTATATCGATTGAATCAGTCTTCAAAGCTATGTAGCTTTTTAAAGCCTGAAAAGGCTGCATTAATCTAACATCCTGCACATGGCTATGTCACATAGATCTACAAAATTAACCATTCTGGTAAATCTTCACCCCCAAAAACCTGTGAGAGAATGACACTTTTACAACACAGAAACCCAGTCTTCCGTATTACAGTAAGGTGAGGGAGAAGCAGATATCATGGATATGCCCATCTTTTCCCTTTGGTTTCTATTTTTGAAATTCACCTGGTTTTCTTCCATTTATGGATCAGGCCTTGGTTTCTCACACAGGGATGTTTTATTTCACTCTGAAGTCAGAAGAAATAAGCTTCCGAAATCATTAGAGAATACAAAATCCATCACCGCCCCTTTTCGCCCTGGTTTCGAATCCGTGGATAAAATCCGCATGCTGGCAGCCCACACCGGGAGTCCTGCAGAAGGCGACTGAGCTGCACGGGTGATGGAGCAGACACAGGGGCGCGAGTCCACTCCGGCTCACGTTCAAATCAACGGTCCGGTCTCGGGGTAGCGATCGGACGCAAACCGCAGCGCGGGGCATTGCGAGTACGGCGCCTCTCAGCCACCGGAGACTCCCATCTGCCCGAGCTGCTTCCATGGTGTCACCATGGACCTGCCCAGGGAGGGGGGTTTGGGGGGGCAGCTCTCAGGGCAGGGACTGGATGAGGATGATCTTCTCGTTGATGCAAAAGCGGTGGAGCACGGTGTGCAGGTTCTCCCCGCAACGGGACACCTGCCTCTCCATGGCCAGCCGGAAGTCCTCCTTCACCCCTTTGGTGATGCCGCGGGTGACAGTGTGGTGCCTGTGTGAGTGGGGGGCGAGACAGAGGAGGAGACAAGGAGACCTGATGCTCTGTAGCGCTGTTTGCCCTCCCACCCTTCCTCTCTCCCTGACACGATTACTGAACCACCTTCATTTCCGCACGAAAACTGCACTTTAACGGTTGACACAAAAAGAAAACTTCAGGAGAGATGCCCACTGATGGACAAATTGACTGCATCTCCCTCCAGTTGGGACAATCTCCGCCTCCCGAGGTGGGATTTACAGTAAATGATGCGATGTAGGCCCAGAAACCTAAAGAGGATCTCAAAGTTGACCACCTGAGATGCTAGTTCTGAAAACGGCGAAAATCTTCTAAGAGTAATCTGTCACTGAGTAAATCGCAGCACAAGAAGATCTAATGGATCTGAAAACATAAGTGAAAACATGAAAGTGGTTTCTAGGGCTCTGATGTGGGGATCTACTGAGTCATCTCAGTAGACCATCATCATGTCAGACTGTCAGCTTTAACCTACACTTTGATCAAATCTGAATGCTCTTGCGGAAGTGCGGGTCCTGTGCTACTCTGCTGCTGTCTAGCAGATGGGCTGATGATGACGATGCAGTAAGCCCCCCCCAAAATGAGGATAATGCATGCCTCTTGTCTGCCATTGTACAAGTGTGCTTCTTTTTCAAAAGTCATCTGAAGTGCCAGGGATTCAAGTTCACATGTAGTGCTATGTGGAAACGCTCCCCAATACTCACCGGCCCTTCCTCTCCGAGGTGCTGTGAAATCAACAGAGAGCTGTAATTGGGCTGGGAATGAAATCCTGTACAGCAGCACGCTGCTCTGATGCACCGCTCAAAACCCAGTGTGACATTAAGTTGCTGCTTTTAGCAAAGATTACAATTGCACAGGGCTGGCATACTTCAATCACGGACAACCGCTAAGTCTAACGGCTAGTGCACAGTCAGTCATGCAAGAACACCTGGTTCATGGAGAGGACAGACAAAAGGGATGGCTGGATGGCGACAGCAGAGCGCCTCGGACACAGGCTGACTGGGCAGCATGGGGCACGTGCCACAGGAACCCAGAGGGGTGAAAATGTCACAATGCGGCTCGCGGTTTTAGTCCTTTCCACAATGTAATCATGGATGGCTCTTGCCCGCGGAGGGGCGCGATGAGGCACACGTGTGGAGGGGTGGAGTGGGGTTGTGATCACAGCTTGTAAAAAAAAAATAAAAAAAAATCAAGAGATGAATGAACTGGGCGGCAAAAATAAGAACGGACAACGATGGCTTTAAAAAAAAAAACCACGCGGAAAGAACTAACAAAAAAAACGGCAGGTGATGAGCAGGCTGGGGAGGGTACCTGTCGGAAGTCGGTACGCCAGGCGGCAGGATGGGGATAAACTCCTGGGGTAGGAGCCCCATGGAAGGGCTGGGGTGCCTAGAGACAGCAAACAGCAACATCCATCACCCACAATAGGCCGCCAGGACAGACGCGCACGGTTTGCGCACAGGGCAGGACTTGGTTTCTCCTCACCGTACAGTAAAAAGACACTGAAGCTCGGTCATAACAGAGCTTCTTGTCTCTCTCCAGGTAATCACGAAACTGGCCAGGGTGATCATCCGTCCCCCCCAGATGACAACACTGGAAAACAAACTGTCTGGCATGCCGGAACGCCTCGGAGGGTCCACGTGTACCGTGTCATCTGGGCTCATCCGGGAACGCCCCAGTAAGTTACCGCGAACTTCCTCAACAGCTCTGAAAGCGCTGTGCACTGACGAACCCTTCCTCCATGAATTGTAAAAGCTCGTGTGGTGCTGCTCCATGCTTTGACTCTGCCTCCGTTAGCCAAGACATGAAAAAAGACTACACCATATCCTGCTGAGATCAACAAGAAGTAACTGGCAAGTCTAATTAAAAAGGCTCTACTCCAAACCACCTATCGCCTTCCTCTCCAGCTGTTCATTCATTGGAGCTGATGCCAGCGTACAGCTCTTCACTAACATTAGGCTGTAAAATGTCACAAATCTGTGCAGTACCTTGCCTCAAAACACAGTTTGCAGTTTAAGACTACTTTTAAACCTCAACAAAAGACTAAAGGCTTAATACTCTAGTTTAAACTAGTTGTTTCTCTTCATCTTGTTGGCAATGAAGCTGCTTTCGTTGCAAATATCGTGAAGGCCTTCAATGTCTGTGGTGTTAATTTTACAGCATGTTTAGATGCTAGCCATAATATATATATATAAAAAGTGATTTCTAAATAACAGAATCGGTTGATCAGTTGATTGACTTATTAAGTGAACAGCTGATTGACCTCAAATGTCCTGGATTTCCTGCTCCGTGTCTCACCCCTCCAGTGGCTGCTACAACACTGTCCCTTTCCCCACTCCGCATGATCTCCACCAGAGTGAGCAGGTGCCAATGTGGACGATCCGGGGGCTCAGCGGGGGAACTTACTTGATGAGCATGCCCTGATTGGGCAGGAGCTCCAGCTGCACCTTGCCTCCCTCTGTGGTGCGCAGGTAAGCAAACTCCTCCAGCATGTCAATATCTGCAAGGGGGGTTGTCAAGGAGAGAGCTGACGGGAAACCACTCTAGGACGGAACTGCAGGCAGGGTGAGCAGGCGTTGGGGCTGTGTACGCATAACTGGAAGTTACGGACACTGATGTTGGACTCTGTTGTAGTTTGTTTCAATTGCACCTTTTGCCAGTTTCAATGGGCACCAGCATTGCTGAGGGTATCCCTGTAACGGTCTAGCACCCCATCCAGAGTGTGATTAATGCTGTGGAAACTGGGATGAGCTCCTTTAGGCTCGAGAGTCCTAGAGGATGTTACTCCTAATTTACTGTACTCTGTCAGTGGAACAAATCTCTTAATCCTGAAGAGTGAAAGAAGACACAGGGCTGTTGTACTTTCTGGAAAAGTGGATTTAGAGAAACCCAGTGAAACTATTTGCAGCCTATAGTTCTGAAAGAAGAAAGGAAAGCATCAATCTAATTTCTGCAGTTTAGTTTCACTAAGACTATTATATTTCTCAGGTTATCCAAACAAAATTGACAGATAACTCAAAAGCATTAAGCCCAGCATGTAGTTTCCTTAAGAAATTTTCCAGAGCTGAAACCAAAGATCCTTTCTGATCAGAGAAATTGTTTTTGCTGTGGTTGACAAACAGTCCCGATTCACTAAATAAATATCAGTGGTGAAGTGCACCCTGCAGTTACTTAGAGCACCGAGTCCAATTCCTTCAGTTACAAAGAAAATAATTTCTTATAGGACACAAAGGACAAAGGTGTAAGAAAAAAAAATTCTATTCATAACAGAATATCATACTATCATAACCTTTAACTGAGTTCATGAGCACTATTTCAAATCTCTCTGTGAAAGGGGAGATGTGAGAAAATTAGTTTTAATCAAAGAAGCAAATCTGTCTCATCTTAATTTACTCAAACAAAAATGCAAAACCATTTAGACTTAGTCATTGCTGACTAAAATAAAAAACAGCTCGTTACTGAACATTTTTGTTTTCAATTTACTGAATGAAAATTCCACAGCGCTGAAGTTTTAGCTCGCTCCTATTTTTTTTTCTTGTTCCAACCTCACCGTGCAATCACCAATTTAGCAAGCGTTTTTGCTTCTCAGCATATGGCCATGGCACCCTGACTGCACTCAGCAGAGAAAGAGGAAGTGTAGGTTGACACTTCTGACCTACCCACTTGCAAGTCACTTTCAATTCCTCACAGGCAACACAGCCCTGTACCGCAAGTCCTGCTCAGATTGGAGGAGAGACGCGTTTCTCACCAACGACAAGCAGCCTGGAGGCTGAAATAGTCGCCGTTTGCCAAGAGTCGAGAGATTCCTGGACATCCTACCCCCTTACACCCAGCTAGGATTACATCACCCTTGGGAGAATCCTGGCCAATACTGTGTAGTGACTGAATTCTGGCCTCGCTCACAGGGCTAGCATACAAGCACTTACCAAGATACACACCTATAATCCTACAGTAAGGCTAAGCACTGGGAGGCAGGGACACTACCCAGTGTCTGACGCAGGGAACTCCAGAGTGAGAGGATACTGGTGATGTAGTTGAAGAAGTTCTCGTACTGGAAGCTGCCTTGCTGGCAGATCTTATCCACAGCTTTCAGGAACAGGCCTTCTCCCTGGGGCCAATCATGCTGCAGCAGGACTATCACATGACCCAGAGCCAGGTCGTCTCTGTTGTCGGTGAAGGCGCGGAGCTGGCACGACAACCCGACAAACACAATGAGGTAAAGAGGGACAACAAAGAAAAAATATTTTGACAGAAAATCCATAAAAATACTTTTAGATATAAAAATATTTCCCATATTGGTCAGAATATGGGCAAAACTAACTCACGGGCAACTCCTGCTCTCCTAGGTTTGACTCATGCAGGTTTTACAATGAAATTAAGACCAGATAAAAAATCCCACTAGGATTTTGTCGTTCTGTACAAAGATACATGGCCAGTGATCCTGCAGACTCCAAATGACTGGACTTTCCCACCCTGGTCTAAAACCATGTAACTTCCGTGCCGTCATGTAATGTTGCACAGTAATGCAGAAAGTAATCATTTGGGATGTGTCCAGTTGCTTTGCACAAAACAAGTACGAGTAATATTTCTGTGTTTCTTTAACCAGATGTTTTGAAAAACATTTGCATGTTTCTTTTGATGACTACCATGCGCCATTCATGAGGATTGATTATATCCCAGTCCTTAGTATACACCAATAGCAGTTGATTTCCTGCCATTACCTTAAAACACGCTAGCATCAGCTGCAAGCAGAAGGGCATGATGGCCTTACTTGTACAGGGCAGAAATCTGAGGTCGGTACCTACCAGTGGGGAAAGAAAGATCAACATTGGAGGCATTTTACAGCACAAACAAAAACATTTGTAATGCAATAGTAGGACATTAGATAGATCCAAACATAGCAGAGTTATCGGTATGATTGGCCCCTCAACTTCCAGTATTCTTTTTTAGTCATTTAAAACTCTGTTCCAGAATACAATAAATCCTGCCACATCTCAGTCTTTCCCAGGCCACTCCAGCCCCACCCTGCCCATCCTGAGATTACCCACCCTTGCGGAATTTAGTCCTGACCCTGGAGACCTCCTCGGCTGTCCTCCCCAAGTCCTGAGGCTGGGGTACAAGGCCACTCATCACCTCCAGCACCTTCTCACAGGTCATCTGCAGGCCAGCACACAAAACAGGCAGAACTGATTAACCCTGCAGTCTTCACCTGCTAGAGCACTGAACCCAACACACTCCTTAAATACAATAACCGACCCCATCTTATTCATGGCCATTCTTCAAAAATGTGATGGGCTTAGTACAGCTTTGTATGACTGAAGGCACAGAATATGAGGACTCAGTAAATATAACCAGAGTCTTAAGTGCAGCTAATTGCACTGCAACCAGTTAACAATTTTTTATGTGTCTAGCCAATTTGTCATCGTTAATACCTCCCAGTTCACAGTAGCAAACCCTGTGACCACACAGGGAGAAACAGGAAATGCAGACAAGAAACAGGAAATGCAGACTTGACCTGACCTTTAATCTTTTGACATGTCACAGGCTCTGCAGCAACGTACAGGAGGTGTAGTGTCAGTTTGAGGAAAGAATCGTCCTTGACTGATGCCACTGCAAGAATGCAGGGACCCAGGAAATTACTATTTAACAGCGCTTGAGACTTCCTGGTCACAACGCAGGCTTGAACTCCAAGACATCAGATTACATGAAGGTGCAATGGCCTTGATTGGTTGAGCCACTTGTCTTACAAATGTTCTGAAGCACATCTGTATGAGAAGCTGGTACATATTCACATCTGAACTTATCAGAGAGCAGACTACAACCGGTAACATCAAGGGGCAGAACCTCTACAAGGACCTGTGATGTCAATAAGATCACACACCATCAAAACAGCAATCAGACAATTTCCCCACAAAATGTACTTAAATGTACTCTGTAGACCATGTATCTGTTGCGGATGCACATTCACTTCAAACTCCTAGAGGAAACTTTGGGGTCAAACTTGTGTCCACACTCTTTCAAGAGGCATAAATGAGTCTGGATGAGGTCGCCAGGTTGCATGTGATTCCGACTGCCCGCGCAGTGGACAGATGAACCACTGCCCGCCGTGTGGAAGCAGCCACTCACCCTGTACTCTCCCAGGGTATAGTGACAGGAGGCCAGCTGGATCAAAGCCCTGAGGTGCTCCAGAGACCCCTGGGAGGAGACCTGCTGCTGGGGGGCCTGGAAGGACGCCAGCTGGTGGAGACTGCTAATGGCCTTCCTATACTGGCCCTGGAGCAGAGGCCAGGAACACAGGAGAAGAGGAGAAAGTGAAAGGCTATCAATGGAAACATGGAACAGCACTGGAGCAAAGAGAAATCACAGGGTCTGAAAACATACAAAAGGTGGCAAATGAGATTAGCTCATTTTGGCCCATTGTGCTTGTCTGCTAGATGAGTAGCTTTGCTCAGTGCACTTTTTTTTACCTTACACAAAAAAAAAACCTGATAAAGTACAAGCACACACATGTGTTGTTTAGCTGGATCCGAGTAACGTCTTGCAATAAGGACGCCAGGAAGCTGAGCAAAGCTCTCATTCTCTTTCATTCCCAGTTCTCTCCTCCAAACTGTTTTGATACAATAGTTCTCCACGATGCACGTGGACAGGCAGAATAAAGTGAATTAAAAAAATAATCTGCCTCCTTCTTGAATAAGTAAATGTTTGGGGCACAACCACTTAGCTAGGGAGGTAGATCTAGATATCCAAAAACCTTCTGTGTAAAGATGTGATCAAATGTCTTATCAAATGAAAACAGCAATCTTTATACACATATAACTTGTAATTATAACTGTAAATGAACCTTACCCCAACACTGCCAGGGGTCTGTACTGGTCTATGGTACATTTAATCTGAGTTGTAAATGACTCAGACTCACTGATTTACCTGATAGATGATCATGTCAGTCAGGAATATCCTCAACCACAGCCAGCTGTCTGTCTTCCAGGAAGAACAGATTCTCTTAAATTCTGGGGGAAAAAATAAAAACATATTATATACATGTAAACACACACTATATATATATATAACAGAATCACAGAATGTAATTATTGACAATGTCTGGGCCACACTTCATAGGAACACCTATTAGCTGCACAAATTCTTTGAAAACAAGAAACCAACCAATATTTCTGCGGTAACTGTTTCATTTTTATTTGTTGCTTCCTTTCTATATCATTCTAAAACATTCTAAAACAAAAGGGGAAAAGACTTAAATCACAGTCAAAGTTTGGCTTATATAAATTTGGTTTACAACACAAAGGGGCATTAGCTAGCAGTGAATGTCGTGGGCCAGACGCACAATCTTCGGTGTGTGTCTTTTTGTGCTTCTGGGAATTATTTTGAGCTCTTCTGGAAGTGATATGCAGCCCTGGTCTCGAAATCAGCGCCTCTCAGAAGAAGACTGCTGCCTGCGCTTTGACAAACCGTTCTCCAGGGTCTCCTGTGAGTGCAGCAGCTCCCAGCTCTCCCTGGCTGCCCTGAAGCTCTCCAGCATGTCGGCCCAGGTGGGCAGCTCGGCCTTGTTCACCAAGATGTGGCGTCCCCGACCCTTCCCAGAGCCCTCCTCGTCATCGGAGCTCTGCCGAAAAACAGGACAGCCCACTCACGTCCAGCCCCAGACACTGTACACATCATCTACTACAAGTGAACAAGTAAAGGGTTATTCCAGGCTGAAAAAGAGAAGAAACGAAACGCAACGTTTCGGCTGTGGAGCCTTCTTCGGGTGTGAGGAAGAAGAAGGCTCAGAGCCCGAAGAAGGCTCCACGGCCGAAACGTTGCATTTCTTTTTTTCTCTTTTTCAGCCTGGAATAATCCTTTACTTGTTCCTTTGCAGCCTACACATGCTGACGCAGCTCCCTACTTGAACTATCTATCACAAGCGAAGTGCCTGATCAATAAAGTGGTACTGGGGAAAAAGTAACAATAAAATAATATTTTCGTATTGAAACACTGGGAGATTTTGATTTGTGCTCTTGATCATTTTGAGGGATTCTCTTAAATATTAGTTTCTCAAAAGACTGGGCTTATAAATGTTTCTTGTTGATCCATGCTGTTTTGAGACCCATTTTCCACAAATGACACAGAACATGTTGCCTCGCTCTCTCTCTCTCTCTCTCACCATTGTCTTCTCCCTGCCGTCCGCCAGCTTGCGTTTCTTGTGGATGTGCTTGTTCCGATCGATGTCTGCATCACTGTAGACCGCGGCGAGGTCTTCCACCAGGATCCAGGGTATTGCACCAGGAGAGCTGTGTCCTACAAAAGACAGACACTAAATAAAACCGGTTTCTTCCACTCCTGAGACTGACACCTCAAAAACCTCACGCCAACGAGATAGTTACATGTGGGATATGGTATAGTACAGATATGCAGGCTGGTTATCTATTATTTGTCTCTTAACTTGACTCTTTAGCTGCTCTGGCACTGCTGACAAACAAAGGCTGACAGTGCCTTCACAGTTCATAGAGTTATCGGATCAGATAATCAGTCCCCACCTGAGGGGAGACATCAGATATTTGCCAACCTAAACAAGCTGGAACTTCCTGGACCTGACCAAAACTGTAATGTTCTTTTCTACAAGAAAACACTTTGTCTCCCTTTACTTATGCATGAATTGGAAGACACTGAACCGTCTTTGGCAGGTGGCACAAAGGGACCATGGTGTTGAGGGCACCGCCCTGGATCACTCACCCTGGAAGAGCATGGGCTGGATGGTGCTGACGTACTGGTAGGCACTGCGGAAGAACACCAGCATGACGGAGTACACCACCTGGTTCCTGTAGCGGATGTGAGCCTCGGCATCAAAGCTGCCGAGATAGCGCGCCAGTTCCTTCATGCGCTGTAGGATCTCCCCGTAGCTCCTGCACAGCAGGGACGAGGAAAACACAGACCTTCACTGGTCTGTAGCCCAAAGGGGAGGCACTCTATTCATTTAGCACCAGCTAACTGCTGATGTCAGCTAACAGTCTACTCTGACTGATGCTTTTTTACAAAGCGACTAACATTTGCTCCCATTTACACATGCTGGGTACTGCACTGCAGAAAAGTACCTTGCTTTAGGATGCCATGGCCTGTCTCACCTGGGATTTGAACCCTCAACCTTCCCGTTATGAGTGTGAGGCCTCAGGTACTGTACCACACTGCTAGTCCATACATGTATACAATAGCTGCCAGTGCAGAGGAGAGGTTCCATCTGTCTGCCTTTCAGAGCGTCACTTCCAGACTGGCTGCCATGCCTGTTGGAAAAAGAGCCCTATCTGCCCTGCGTGGATACCGCTGGCACTAAGGGAAAGTATGCCCAGCTGGCTCTTGATGGCATTAACTACAACAGAAGTTCCACCTCCCGTCTCAGGCACTCATCTGCCTGAAGCCACTGGCACTTCCTGGGGTGTTCCTCAGGTTCAGCAGCTGGCATGTGACCACTATAGGTTGTGCCACTAATGGGCAGATTGGCATCACGTTTGCAATCCTGACCTTATCCCCCTGTCCACCTGCATAAAGATCCACGCAGGGGTTCCTGAACTTGCCCACAGCTGTCCGTTTCTGTGGCGTCAGAGAGGTGTGCATTTCAACGACAAAGGAGACCGCTGCTTGGCCCACCTGCTGCCCTTGTCCATCTGCCACTCGCACCTCACTCCCACCACCGACAGGATCTCCAGCAGGCGCTCCCAGGGCTCCACGATCTGGGAGGACTTCTCCGTCAGCCCCTCGATCACGTAGCGCTGGGAGCCCCGCGCGCTGGGGGACTTGAGGCTGCCCCCGTCCTGGGACCCTGATCACCGCGAGAGGGGAACAGCACAGTCAGGGAGAGGGGGGCACGACGGGACACCTGGGCAGAAATCTGAAAATCAGCCTGCAGGATAGCGCAGGGAAAAGGGGGCTTGGCCGGTCTACGATAAGGAACAAGCAGAGATTAATTCCTCTTTGTGCGTTTTCTTCTTTCTTTTTGCTTTTCAGTGTCAGATCAACCTCCCCGTGTTCCTCTACAGGCTGCAGGCCGCTGCAGCTCCCCACTCAAACCTCTTCGGTTTGCGGAAAAGTCAGTGCAGCACCTTACACTTCTCAATTGCTTATATGACTCATAGGATTCTCTTGTACAAAGGTATATCGATTCTTTTTACTCTGGTTCTACCTTTAAAAATTCAGCATTTACGCGCATGTGCAAGAAAATATCACTCCACGCTGCATATACAACAGCAGATTGCTGGCTAACAGATTCATGAGAAATTCCTCAAATACTAATAATGCAATAAATAATAATACAAATACGTAATTAGTATCCCCCAATCTGAATTCAGTAATGTGCATTTCTGTTACTTACAAGCATCTGCATCACCAAGAGCAGTGTTTTATGAACCAATCATTGTGTCATGTAGTAGGTAACCCCCTGTTTACAGTGTCAAAAAAGCAATCAATTCTTTTTTAAGGAATGTGCAGGTGACATAACTTTTAAATCTTCATCAGACAGCTGCAATTTCATTCATATCAAGTGTGGCTTAACAATCCCAAGGACAGATGGATAAGGGAAGCATGAAGCTGTCTGCGAGCTACTGCAATACTGTGTGATGCACGGCTGTAACTGAGAGCCCTACCCTGGAGCTGACTCTCCACAGTGGGGCTCCTGGTGACGTAGCTGATGTAGAATTCGGCAGCTTTGTGCATGTACTTGTAGAGCAGGCTAGCAGGCAGGCGCATGTCGGGGTTGTTGATGATGAGGGGAAGGACGTCACACACTGCAAAAGTGGTGAAAATTCTCAAGGGATTTCTTGCACAAAATATTGAAAATATTGTTAACCAAAGAGCTTGGCATTACATTTCTAATTTAACCTAACTGGCTACACTATCTCATTTGTGTTGTCAACAGCGAAATTAATAGACTGCTTAAACAACACTAAAACTAGGACAAGAAGAGAAGGCACTAGCACAGTATGAGTATGCAAAGTCCTGTACAATCATGACATTAGACACTGATCCTAATGCAATTCTGTTTTCTTTTTCTGTTTTTCACATTTTATCTTTTAAATAGTTAAGCATTGCAACACTTTATACAGTTACAGTCTTCTAATTTATTTTTGCTAATGTCAAGAAAATAGGACAGGATGGACTCCAGGTTACAGATTTTTTTTTTCATTTTTGTGGATCAGATATTCCAGATATTGCTGCTCTGAAACCAGCTCACAAAAGAGCAACCGGTTACATTTGCAGGCTAAAAGTAATACCCTACGCAGTGCCAGACTGAAATAACTGAATTAATTTAGTCTCGGTGAAGACCTCCAGCGGATCTAACGAATGTATTGAAAATCCTCAAAGGCACTGACAAAGTCAACCCAAAAGACTTCTTTAGAATCAACAGCGAAGCCCTGAAATTTACCTGATCACTTTCGCCTGGTTATATTCCGGAAATTGTTTTTTGTAACAAGTAGCCAAAACAATATAGGCAAACATTGTGTATGTTGTGACAATACAGGCACCCATCTAGAACTGCAATAACAAAGACATTTAAATATTTTGAAGCTTTTTGACAATTACATTGACAATAGTGACGTAATAACACACAGCAGTACAGTTTACAACTCAGTCTCAGTCAACTGACAATTGTTGTCATTCCTTTATATTTTTATTTAACCAACAGATTCACGTGTCCCTACCAAAAACGAAGCCTAGCCTCAATTTGTTTTAACCGGAAAATAGCTGATTGTTCAGGGATTTAACAGGTGATTTTGCTTTTCATATGTTTAAAACAGGGTGTCAGCCAAAGCACAGAACTGACCACAGCTTTAAAGCTCAGTCTCACATCTTGTGGGGAAGATGATGCTCAGGACACTGGAATATTGAAAACCATCAAGATTCTTCTCTGTCTGTGCTATAAAGGTTGCTTGAGTGTTTTTCTAAGCTTCACGAAGACAAATTACTAAGACCTGAAAATCTGAAAGCTTTTTTAACACTTTACGTGGAGCTACTCTGCAGCACCTTAGCTATAGAATAGAGTTTTTCTTGGATGGATATATATTTCTTATTTACCAGAATTCCCACTGAAGGTGAATTTCTCAAGATAAGGAGGAGAATGAGACCCACATTTTGTCATTTCTATACTGTTTCTATACTCTGTCTGGGTCACACAGTATCCCTTTATTCTATCACCAGGAAGTAACAGTTTTGTTCCACACTAAACCCTCTATCTTCTGCATCACCTCAACAATATCAGCTGCACTCCCCCCTTTTAACGTTTTTATGTTTATCGCCATTAATGTGCTTTATAGCAGTACCAATACACACACGATCAGATGAATGACAAAAAAGCATGAAGAATGGTAACTCATTATTACCATGAGGTTTTGCAGCTATTAAGAAAAGCTACACATAATTTTCTGCACTTCGGGGCAGTCATTCAAAAGTGTAAATGAAGTCCAGTCACAAAACGTGTCTGGGGCAATGCAAAAAAATACTAAAAATAAAAACGGAAGCGGAAAAACAATACAGAACTCAGCAAAATGCTGTTATAAAATGCGCTGTTCCATCCCCCCCTACCTAAACTTGTGATTCACTAATCGGAGAATGTACGTCTCTCTATCCTCAAGGCACCAGTGCTCCAGCCATCCAAAAACACATCCCTTACCAAACAGTTTCCTGAAGCAGTTGACTGGTGACTCTTGGTCTTCAATGCTTTCCGCCTCTAGCAGCGTCTCCCCCAGATTAACCTGCAGGAAAACAGACGGGAAACTTTTGAAAGATCCATCTGATAACAAATCAGTCAGACTCAATTTTTCCGACCCAGAACGCTGCTAGGTTCAAGACCCTGTTTTGCATCACCCTGAGACCT